AAAGTTGGGGGAGAAGGGAATGAAGGTGGGCACATGCAGGAGAGAGACTGTTTCCAGTTGCTGGGAACGTTGAAAGGAAGCACTTCAGCAAAGCGGGGCTCACAGCTGCTACCCTTTCAGCAGGCCCCGGGTGCCTGCCTGCATCGCCCTCTGCCCCTCCCACATCCAGAATTTCAGACACAGACTTGGAAGGCAGAAAAGACTGGCTTGCAGAGGACCTAAAACCTCACGCAAGCAGTGAGGGCTGTAAGCCCCATAACTGCAGAAGTATCCCCCAGCAGGTGAAAAGGACAGAAAGGGGTACAGATTAAGCCTTTAGTTGAAACTGTTATGTGCAGAGAGGTGGCTGTAGTCCTGAAAGCATTTATCTCTTAAGGCGGGAAGCGGTGGCAGCCTGGCAAGACCTGGTCCTGCAGAGCCTCACCTGTTTCTGCTTCCTGGGGGTCACTGCCAGGACCCTCCTAACAAGGGCTTCCTCAAGGGCAGTGGAGAAGAAGGCAAGGAGGAAGGAAGGAGCCCTGGAAACTCTCAGCGACCCAAAGAGACACGTATGTCCAAACCCCATTAAGGGATAAGGCCGTGTTTCTTTACTTGTAAGGAATTGGAGATTTTTTTCTCAGTAACCACAGATTCCTTCAACCATCAACTTTCAAGGGGCCACGTGGCAGAGACACCTCCCAGCCCTCAGCACCTGCTGCTTCACTCTTGTAAAGCCTCAAAACAACGTGACCGCCTGTCAGCGGTGCCAGGAGCTTCGGAGTTCATTTCTCTGAAATCACAGGAAGTTCAGAGAGGATAGTAAGAGAAAGAGGCTGGGGTGCCACTCACCTGGGAGCTGTGGGGCCCAGAACGAGAAACCCCGCAGGGGCGCCAGGGGAATGGAGACTCGCTGCTGCGGATCTCTGCGCTGAGATCCTGCACAGGACGTCCAGACGCTGAGATCCCCACGCACGCCCCCGAAAAGGGGCAACTCTGCCAGATTCCCCAGACAAGCACCTGTAACCGAGCGCGCGCTGGAGCGGAGGTGCGCGCCCCCTGGTGGTGCCCTGCCGAAACTCAGCGAGACTGCCTTCCCGTGGGCGCGTCGCTCCCACCCATTCCCTCTTCTCCACCGGGTGTGGATCTTCTGAAGAGGGGAGCCATAGGTGATAGAAAAGGGAGCTGGAAAGGACAGGGAGTAGGTACCAATTGTGCAACTTGTTTCCAGGCCTACAGGTAGGCAGCTTCCACTATCTGGAGTGGGAACGCAAAAATGCAGAGACACATCCGTGCCTTCACTGTGAGGATCTGACGCAGGGATGTCATCCGAGTGTGTCCCGACTCCTTCCCACAGGAACACTCTCCACACTACGCCCCCTCTGGCTCTATTCCTGGGAATATGTGCTCCGCAGAAACTGAGGTCTCTACAAACACTAGAAATGTAAGCACCTGAAAACCAGCTGGCTAATGCCAGCTTGTCCGGAATCCATGCATGTCTTCCC